GCCTCTACCTGCCTTCAATATGCCTCTACCTGCCTTCAATATGCCTCTACCTGCCTTCAATATGCCTCTACCTGCCTTCAATATGCCTCTACCTGCCTTAAATATGCCTCTACCTGCCTTCAATATGCCTACACCTTTCATGGAGCCTGAGAGCTCGGTGGTCAACGATGCTGTATTGCCTTTACCTTCTCATGAAGGTAGAAGTAATTCCCGATAATAATAAATTTAATTTTAAACTTTCATGCATTTTCACATCATATCACGTGTTAGGATAAACCAGGTCACGAAATTCAAGTTGCTTGTAAAGAATGCTCATGTAAACCCTTCATGTTCGCACAGGACAGTAAAGGGAGACGCGGTTTTGTTTTGATTATTGACCATTTTCTGTAAATCAATACAAATAATATAATATAGGAACCAATTCGAGAAATTTTTTATATTAACATAGTTCATTTCCGAAGTAAATAATTTATTAATCATCATATGCAGGGTGGCCCAGTGGTTACAGTTCAGAGTACCAAGATTGGAGCAGAGAGGCGCGGGTTCAATCCCAGCTCTGTGCGCCAGTTTCTGGCCAGAATCGGCGAGGAGGCCGGGCGGTTAAGCACAGCAGAATTGGAGCAGTGAGTTGCGAGTTCGAGACCGCAACAAGCTGTGAATGTTCTGCGATGTTAAGAATCGGCGACAGGCTTACGGCCTAATAAACGCTGAAACCGCTATTATTATTATTATAATGCTGACCGACGATCGGATCACAACTCGTAATGCTGGCACAGACGATGTCTTGCGTTAGTTCAGCAGACACAAGGATGACTGCTTTTAACACTGCCTGTACAAAAATTAATTCATAAACTTTGTCCTCATTAATTTAATTCGATTAACATATACCCAGGCAAGCTACTGAAGAACGGAGCTCCAAGTAGAGTGGTGAACGTTGCTTCCCTTGCTTACGTCTTCACTGGAAAAATGGATGTTGAGGACTTGAACTTCAGAAACATTCCATACGGCGGCTACAGAGCTTACAGCCTCAGCAAACTGGCCAACATCCTCATGACTCGAGAACTGGCGAGGAGACTGGAGGGGACTGGTGAGAGAACTGGAGGGGACTGGTGAGAGAACTGGAGGGGACTGGTGAGAGAACTGCAGGGGACTGGTGAGAGAACTGGAGGGGACTGGTGAGAGAACTACAGGGGACTGGTGAGAGAACTGGAGGG